AAAGAGAGAAGGAAAGTGAGAAAGCATCCCTTGGAAGGATGAGCATGCCACAATCCCCTCTTCATTTTCTTCTCAGGATTTTAGGTACACATACAATGTGTGTTTTTCAAGCCATCAGGTCTAGACTTGAACTGTGTAGTCAGCCACATGGACCTAAATAACACTTTTAAGCATACATGACTGTCCTAAATTATTTTTTCACACCCACCATCCACTACTCACTCTCTACCAGCAACTTTCCCCCCTTATAGTGTCTAGCATCCACAGCCATTCTCTCCACCATCACATCTTCAGATCTCTCTGCCATAGACATTCAGTACAAATTGACGTGGGATATACAATGTATGTCTTTCAAAGTTTGGCTCACTTCGCTCAACAATAAGTCTTCTATATTTATCCATTTTGAGTCAAATGATAGTATCTTGTTTTCCTTTTTATTTTTTTAACATTTATTTATTTTTACATTTTCCCACAAGCATTTACTTTACATCTCAAAAAAATATTTTTGCTCATATTCTGTAGTTCTTGACAGTTAATAAACAACTTTCAAAATTGCAAGAAACTGAATTTAAAGATGATTATCAAAATATTTGTTACAATTTTGTTCGTGACTCTATAACAGAAACAATATGGCTTTAAATATTTTTGAGAAAATATTTATATGACAACGACTCAGACTGTTAAAAAGCAAAGACTCAGCACATAATTTGTACATGAACTTTCTCAATTCAGCCCTGCCTACCAATTATTCAGTGGTATACCATCTGCTAGCAAAGATCAGTCTCTCGTCCTTCCTTCAGAGTCTTCTTCAAGCTAAAGCTCTGGTTGCGGCTGCTCTTTTGCAATCTCTACTGATTACAATGTAGGACTGGAAAAGCCCAGGTTATTTTATGGTATGGGTTCTTTCATATAGCTTCTCTAATCCTCCCTGCCAGACAGAACTGTTTACTGTGCCAGGCCACCTTTCCAAGAGCTTCTGTTGGCTTACTTGAGATTTACCTTAGCTCCATAGTTTTCTGGTTTAATCTTCAGATATGACATTCCAGTCAAAGCCCTCTCTAATAACAAGTATTTCCAATTTCTGATTCAAGGCAGCAGGTATTATTGAACTTACGTAAATAACCATTCTGCCACAGAAGAAGAAAGCACCCAGATATTTTCCAGAAGGGCAGGAAGGAAGAAAAGTTTGTTTTCATTTAAAGAAACAAACAAGAAGAAAAAACATTTTAACAAATTCCTAAACCTATCAATAGCTCAAAAGAAAGCAAAATCCTTAAATTGGGAAAACAAAGCATAGTAAAGAAAAAGTAACATTTTACTCAAAAGTCATAAATTTCTATTTCCTGAGTTGAGTCTTATGTAATGAATCTTTCTTCTGTTAATTTTGCAATGTTACTGTGGTCTGATCTTTCCGATTACATCCTAGATGTTAACATCCAGTGTTATTGATATGTCTTGTCCCTAGCATTCAGTTGGTCATTTCCTTGGTTGCTTTTTATTCTCTTATTTCTGTATGTGTGTCTTTAGTTTTCTTGGTAAAGCACTCCTTTTAAAACTTCTTAAAGAGCTGGTCTGGCGTTGGTAAATTCTTTCAGGTTTTGCTTATCTGAGAATGTTCTTGTCTTCTCTTCTCATATAAATAATAATCTTGCCAGATATAGTATTCTTGGTTAAAGTTGTTTTTCACTCAACACTTTGAATATATTTTCCCATTCGTTCCTTGCTTGCATTATTTTTGATGAGAGGTCTGATGTTAGCCTGATGGGATAACCTTTATAAGTAACCTGACGTTTCTCTCTTGCCAATTTTAGTACCTTGTCTTCGTCTGTGGTTTGGCCAATCTGGCTATGATGTGCCTTGGAGAAGATCTTCTTGGGTTGATTCTATTTGGGGTCCTTTGTATTTCTTGGGTCTGGATATTTGAATGCCTCTTTAGATTTGGAAAGTTTTCTTCCAGGATTTCATGGAATAGCTTATCAATGCCCTTATTAGTTTCTTCACCTCCTGGGATACTGATTATCAGGATGTTTGGGTGCTTAATAGTATCTAGTATTTCTCGTATAGTATTCTCATTTTTTCTGGTTATTTTCTCTTTTTGTTTTTTTTGGTTGTTTTTCCTAGGTCAGAGGTTTTGCCTTCAATATCCAAGATTCCATCTTCTGCGTGGACTAATCTGCTTTTAATACTTTGGGGGGAGGATTTGATTTCCTGTATTGCAGCCTTTATCTCTAACAGTTCTGTTTGATTCTTTTTTATGGTGTATATTTCCTCTTTCAGATCGTACAAGAACTTCCTCACCGCCTGGAATTTGTCTCTTTTCTACCACATCTTCTGGAGTTCATTGTCTCTCACCTCTTACATCTTACTTAGTTTTGTCACTATGAATATTCTGAATTTTCTATCAGGCATTTCCATGAGTTCCACTGCACTGTCTGTGGATGGTGAAAGATTGTTCTTTTCACTTATGGGGGAGACGTTTCCTTGATTTCTCATATTTCTTTTGCCTTTACGGTGGTTGCTGCTCATTCCGTAACAAAATCTCTCCTCTACTGTGTTTTGCAATGTCATACCCACAGAAAGAAATTATGAGTTCAGATATATACAAAGAAGATTCTTCCTTAAACAGGAAGTTCAATAAGTGTTGAGGATTTCAATAACCATAAAAGTATTCAGATGCTTGGCTACTGTGCACCTAGGCCTGTCTAGACACTCACTGTGTGCAGAACAGCATAGGAAAGTAAAGTTAAAAAAAAAAAAGGCAAAAGGAAAAGAAAGGAAAAAATAAAACTAGACAAAACGACCCAAAAAAAGGGAAAAAAATTATTCTTAAAAGGTAAAATAATGAATGGGACCAGCAGTTGGTGTAATGGCTATGTTGCTGGACTCCCATGTAGTCGACTGCAGTGCAAGTGCCGGACCTGGTGGCTTAAAACTCATGCCGGGCGCGTGTGTGTGCGTGCCCAAGATCCCGAGAGGAGAATGGAGAAGAAGGGATTGAGGCGTGGTCATACCCCCTGGGGGGTGATTTCTCGCTTTCTGTCTCTCTGTCTCTCTCTGTCTTTCTGTGCAGCACACACGCCCTGTAGCAGAAAACCTCTCAAAAAAATGTTAAAAAATAAAAACCACGCTATGCTGTGTGAACACGCCAGGACACACCTCAGATTTAAAATGGCTTCTGAAATTAGCAAGAGAAAGAAAAGGCCCAATGTGAAAAGAAGTGGTTTTAAAATTAAAAAATAAATAAATAAAAAATTTAAAGAGAGACATACAGACAGAGTGGCACAAAGAGAGGAGAGAGGTCGCCCTACCTTGTCTGAGTGTTTTGGGGAGTCTAGAAGATGAGGTTTAGAGCATAACTTTAGTAGCCTTGGTCCCTGAACATGCCAGGACACATCTTGGATTTAAAATGGCTCATTGGGACCAGCAGTTGACATAATGGCTGTGTTGTTGGACTCCCATGTAGTCGACCGCAGTTCGAGTCCCGGACCCGGTGGCTTAAACTCACGCCGGGCACATGTGTGTATGTGCCCAAGATCCCGAGAGGAGAATGGAGGAGAAAGGATTGCGGCGTGGCCATCCCCCCTGGGGGGTTTCGTTTTCTATCTCTCTGTCTCTCTCTGTCTGTTGGGTGAGCGTACGCCCCCTATAGCAAAAACCTCTCCAAAAAAAAAAAAGTATAAAAGAAGTATCCTATCATTCTTATCCTCAGAGGAGCTCTCCTTAATGTTTTGTTTTCCAGTTGTTCCCATGACTTTGCCAACGAAAGTTCTAAGTGCCCACCGGAAATCATTGAATCTTGTTGATTCTCCTCAGCCACTCCTGAAAAAGGTAAAGCATTTGGAGTAGCTTTGGGGGGAAAAAAAAGATAACATTCTACTGTATTAGGTAAGTGCCAAGAGCTCTTTTAAATGGTTAAACTCAAAAGAGTGTATTTCTTGATATCCAGGACCATTAGGTTCAGAAGCTCTGGGTTTTTATGTGACCCCATTTGCTTAGGTGTCTGAAATCTGAACCACGTGTCCTGCCTGTGTCAGCCAGGCAAGGCGGGACTGCTTGCAGAACAGGATATAGGACTCTTTGTTTCTCTTAGTATAACAACACCCGGTAAAAGATTACTCAGGACACTCAGATTCAGTGTGTTCCATATTGAGTCCCAGAATTTTGTTCTTTTATCCAGAAGTCTCCCCTGATTTTATCCCACATAAATAAAAAGACTCAATGCCTGTCAGAGATTCTTTTAACCTCACTTCAGTTTTAGGTTGTTTAATACATACTTTTTGTGTTTGTTTTGCTTTCAAAAATATTTCATTGAAGTGTGACATACATACAGAAAGGCACATAAAGCGTGTATAGAGCACAGTGAGTGATCCCGAGCCCATGCACCCCATGAACAGCCACCCTCTGGGCCCCCTCCCTGTCTCTTCCTCCAACTCCAGTCCAGAGATGACTGCTGTCAGGATTTCCAACACAGAGGTTAGTTTTGTTTTTTACCTTTGCATAAGTAAAACTTAGATGCATTTTAACTGGACAGGTCAGCTTTGCAAATATTAACCAACACAGTAATTCACTGATTAAAAATAGTAAAGCCTATAAATAAAACGGTACAGAAGAGTCACAGAGAAACTGGAGCACAGCACAGTGCCAGAGTTCAAAGACCAGGTTGGTGCTTCACTTCTGGCTCATCTCAAAGTTCCCATACTCAGCTCTTCTCCCTACTTTTTTGCTTTTGTGTGGTCAGGCTCCTGAAGGTGACTTCCAGTGGCCCAGAGATGACCAGGGTGATGTGGACTGTGAGAAGCTGGTTGAGCAGCTGAAAGATTGTTCAAACCTACAGGACCAAGCAGACATTCTGTATATTCTTTATGTAATAAAGTAAGTGTCTGAGTCTGTTCGGGCCACCGTGACAGAACGCCATAAATCGGAGAACTAATACTCAACAGAATCTTTCCCCTCCTGGTTCCGGAGGCTGAAAAGTTGAAGATCAAGGCAGATTCGGTGTCTGGTGAGGGCCTGCTTCCTCGTAGATGGGGTCTCTCAGCAGTGTCCTCATATGGACAAAGGGGTGACTGAGCTCTCTGGGGCCTCTTTTATAAGAGCTCTCGGGAACCAGCAGTTAGTGTAATGGCTATGTCGCTGGACTCCCACGTAGTCGACCACGGTTCGCGTCCCAGACCCGGTGGCTTAAAACTCACGCCGGGCGCGTGTGCGTGTGTGCCCAAGATCCCGAGAGGAGAATGGTGGAGAAGGGATTGCGGCGTGACCATCCCCTCTGGGGGGTGATTTCTCGCTTTCTGTCTCTATGTCTCTCTCTGTCTGTCTGGCGAGCGCATGCACCCTATAGCAAAAACCTCTCCAAAAAAAAAAAAAAAAAAGAGCTCTAATCCCAATCATGAGAGCTCTGTCCTCCAACTAATCACCTCCTAAAGGTTTACCTCCTAATACATCACCCTGGGTGGTAGGAGGAAAAGAGAGACATTTGTGGTCTTCATTATGTTGAGCTTTCTCAGTTCTCCTTCATTCTTCTAGAGAGCCCAGACCGTGACTATATTTACCCAAGTGACCCGGCAATCCCATGAGTTGAGACTTTGTCTTCTTCCCTGCCTACTGATCCTGGCCTTCCAGAATAAGAGGGTCAGGTGAGGCTAGGGTCCCCCGATGTGCTGATGTCAAGCTTTTCTTTCAGAAGGCATAGGGATGCTTTGGTAGGACGTGACCCTTTAGGCCCTGGGAGCGCCTAAACACTTGGTAAAATGGGCAGTGATTCATTCATTCCTCACTCAGCCTTTCAACATTCCAGACTTGATTTCTGGGGTTTTCTGTTTCTTGACAGGGGACCCAACTGGGACACAAATCTCTCTGGCCAGCACGGGGTCACTGTTCACAACCTTCTCAGTGAGCTCTATGGGAAAGCCGGCTTGAACCAGGAATGGGGTCTGATTCGCTACATCTCAGGTCTGCTCAGGAAGAAAGTGGAGGTCCTGGCCGAGGTCAGAGCAGTTGTGCTGGCTTGTCTGTTTGTCCTCTCTTGCCCCATGTCCACTTCGTCTTCCACTTCCATCTTCAGTTCCGAAAGCTCCAGGCAGGCACGTCTGGTTGATAAAGGAAAGTGAGGATTTGATACAGAGGTGGAGCAGGCTTTCCTCTTCAGACCTCCCACTGCTCTGAGACGGGAACAGGAGGGGGGAAATTCAGGCTGATCCATTAGTTCTTTGTCAGCTAGAGAAAAGGCTTACCGAGATGCCAAAGGAAAACGCTCTGTGGCCTGGCATCGTCTTAACCAGAGCTCTCTTATTACTGTCCATCACAGCCCAGTGCCCGTGAATATTCATAGCCCCCAGGCACTGCTCAATCCAGGACCACTTTCTCAGACAGTACCATTCATTGTCACGAGGGGAAGGCGATGGTATCCGTTCTACGTGAATAATGGGGAAACCAGCACGGTAGGGATAGTGCTGTCAGTATGTAGGACTCACCCCCACCTTGCTGAGTATCAGCGAGTCCAGTGTGTTGGCTAAATGCCTGCTGGTCCTGCAGAGCCCGGCCTGTGCCACACATGGGAGACACAGGGGTTGAGACCCAGCCCTACCTGGATGGTGCAGTCTGGGAGCTAGGTATAAGTTTTTCAAATACAGGGCAACATAGGTCCCAAAGTTTATGGAGATAAATTTGTGACCTTATTGGCAGTGACCCCCTCACACCATGGCTTTGCTAATCAGCTTTCTCCCCCTGTTCCTAAATGCCTAGGCCTGCACCGACCTGCTGTCACACCAGAAGCAGCTCACGGTGGGCCTGCCACCCGAGCCCCGAGAGAAGACCATCTCAGCGTAAGTCCTGGGCCGAGGGACCTCAGGGCTGTGGGAGCTGTGGGGAAGAATCAGCTCTCTGCCCTCAGGACCACCGGGCGAGGCCGCGGGGGCTGCTCACCTGCTGTGCTGGTGCTCCTTCTAGGCCCCTTCCTCCCGAGGAGCTCACGAAGCTCATCTATGAGGCCAGTGGGCAGGACATCAGCATCGCTGTCCTCACACAGGTCAGAGCTGGCATGGGAGGGGCGGGCGGGAGCCTCAGGGCCACCCAGTGGGCCTCTGAACCCTGTCCCCGTGTCTGCATCAGGAGATTGTGGTTTACCTGGCCATGTACGTCAGGGCCCAGCCCAGCCTCTTTGTGGAAATGCTCAGACTCCGGATTGGACTGATCATTCAGGTGATGGCCACGGAGCTGGCGCGGAGCCTGAACTGCTCAGGTGAGAGGCAAGTCCCCTGCAGTCACCCTGCCCTACAGTGGCCCGCCCCTCTGCTCCAAGGAGTGGCCCCGTTTTCCTGAGGACCCTGCCCAGGCTTCTGTAGGCTGTCTAATTTGGATACAGCACAGGGCTGGAGGGCAGAGGCAGGCAGCAAGGCCTAGTGATGGTTCCTGTGGTCACCCAGGAGCTTGGGAGCAAGGCTGAGCTGCTTTCCTGAGCCTCTGCTAAGCTCCTTACGGGGAATGGCCATGCAGAGATGTCATCTCCCCTCTAATGACACTGTCCTTGGAGAAGTCCTGCTGAGATAAATATGAAAAGCAGCCACAGGCCCTGCCAATTAAAAGATTGGTACATTTCGGGGGACCAGCAGTTGGAATAATGGCTATGTCGCTGGACTCCCATGTAGTCGACCATGGTTCAAGTCCCGGACCTGGTGGCTTAAACTCACACCGGGTGCGTGTGCATGAGTGCCCAAGATCCCCAGAGGAGAATGGAGGAGAAGGGATTGCGGTGTGTCCATCCCCCCTCCCAGGGGGGGGTGATTTCTCACTTTCTGTCTCTCTGTCTCTCTGTCTTTCTGGCGAGCGCACGCGCCCTATAGCAAAAACCAAAACCTCTCCAGGATTGGGATAGCGCCAAAAACCATGCGTCTGGGACTGACGCAGAGACACGACTTAAGCAGCAGGTTTAAACAGACTCGCCTCATCTCAGGGCAGATGGCCACGGCATCCTTTGTCACCCTTCCCATTCAGGCTCCCACTCTCTTGTTACCCACCACCAGCCCCATGGCTGGGACACTTACAGGATGTTTGTTTTTAGGAGAAGAAGCTTCTGAGAGTTTGATGAACCTCAGCCCCTTCGATATGAAGAATCTCCT